TGTTAGGAGAAAAAATTGTAGATTAAATACTCATTCGAAAATAAGAAAGATTTAGAATCAAAGACCTACACAACCCACTTCAGGAAGCTAGAAAAAGAAGAGCAAATTAAATACAAAATAGGTAATAGGAAAGAAACAGTAAAAAGAGAGTGGAAATCAATAAAATAGAAAATACACAACTAGAAAATTAATGAAACTAAAAGGCAATTCTTTGAAAAGATTAATAAAATTGATAAACCTAAAACTATTCTAAAGCAAACAATGAGAAAATAGAAATAGCCAAAATCAGGAATGAAAGAGGGGACATAACTACAGACTCAACAGACATTAAAAGGACAATAAAGGAATATTACAATATTATGACAATAAATTCAAAAATTTAGATGAAATAAACAAATTCCTTGCAAACCTTAATTCCAAAACTAACTCAAGAATAAAGAGAAAACATTTAATACAGATATTAAAGAAATTAAATGTGTGCTTTAAGCATCCCACAAAGAAAACTCCAGGCCCAAACAGTTTGACTAGTGAGTTTTAACAATCCTTTAAGGAAGAAATCACACCAATCCTGCACAAACTCTTCTACAAATGGAAGAACAGGGAACATTTCCTAATTCATACGTGAGGCCAGCATTACCCTTACAACAAAACCCCTCATAAACACAGATGCAAATATTCTCAACTAATTGTGAGCAAATCATATCAGAAAAAATATATATAAAATAAAATGTGCTTGTGAGTATATATAAATAAAATATTTTATAATTAAATAAACAAAAATAACCAAATAGAGTATATCCCAGAAATTCAGGTTGCTGTAACATTCAAAAATCAACCAATGTAATTCTCCATACTAACAGAATAAAGGAGAAAAATCATATGATTATATAAATAGATGCAGAAAAAGTATTTGACAAAATCCAATGCTATTCAAGACACCAACTCTTAGAAAAAAATAAAAATAGAGGAGAATTTACTCAGTCTAAAAGGGCATACATGAAAAGCCCACAGCTAACATCATGCTTAAAGGTGAAAGATAAATGCTTTCCACTTAAGATAAAGAACAGGTAAGGATGTCCACTCTCACCACTTCTATTCAACACTATATTGAAGGCCTAGCGAGTGAAATAAAATAACAAAAAATTAACAAATGGGATAAAACACCTAGAGATCGGAAAGAAAAAAAAGTGTCTTTATTCACACATAATATAATCATGTACTAAGAATCAACCAAAAAAACCTAACACTAGTACTTGTGAATTTAGCAAGGTGACAAGATACAAGGTAAATATACAAAAATCCACTGTAAACGTACATGCTAGCTGCAAATACACAAAAAATAAAATTTATTTTTTTCATTCCATTTCCAACAGCACCCCAAGAAAATAAAATATAAAAAATATAACAAAAGATGATAGTAAGACCTCTACACTGAAAATTCCAGAACACTGTGAGAGAAATTAAAGAAGACTTAAAGAGATGGAGAGATATACCACATGCATGATGGGTTGGAAGACTCTCTATTTTAAGATATTAATTCTCCCAAAATTGATCTATTGATGCAAAACAATTCCAATCAAAATATCAGTACATACTTTTGTTGAAAGTGATAGGCTGATTCTAAAATTTATTTTAAAAATGCAAAGAACTTAGAGTAGCAAACAATTTTCAAAAAGAACAAAATCATAGAACTTACACTACCTTATTCCAAGACTTACCCTAAACTTGCAGTAATTACAACAGTTTATTTACTGGCCAAGGAGAGACATACAAGCCAAGGGAACAGAACAGAGTCTAGAAATTAACCCACAAATATATATGCTCAATTGTATTTAAAACAAAGGAGCCTAAGTAATTCAACAAAGAAAGGTTAGCCTTCTCAACAAATGATGCTGGAACAAGTGGAAATCCACGTGGAAAAACTGAAATTTGACACTTACTACATACCATAAGCAAAAATTAACTCAAAATGAATCGCTGATAAACGAAAAAGCCAAAGCTACAAAACTTCTTGAAAAAAACACAGGAGAAAATCTTCACAACCTTGAGATGTGCAAAAATTAGGACACCAAAAGCAGTAACTACGAAAAATTAATGATAAAAGAAAATAATTAATAAATTGGACTTCATAAAAGAAAACAGAATGGCCAATAAAGACTTAAAGTAATGCTCTACATCACTGGTGTTCAGGGAAATATCACATGAAATATTACTACACATAGTAGGATGGTCAAAAAAGTACAAAGGCTGAAAATTCCAAGTGCTTGCAAAGGTGTAGAATAACTGGAATTCTCATATATTGCTGGTAGGAGTGTAAAATGGTCCAAACACTTTGGAAAACTATGGCATTCTTCCAAGAGAAAAACATGTCCACCAAATGACTTGTACACAAACATTCACAGTAGCTTTATTCATACTAGCGCAAACTAAAAAACCACCCAAATGACTTTGAACAGATAAGACAGATAAGCAAATTATGGTATATTCATACACTGGAATATAGCAATAAAGAGAAAGGAAATACTGATACATGCAATTACGTGAGTTGCAAAAACATTATGTAAAGCCAAAGAAGCCCGACACAAAAAGGATCATATTACAGTTGACCCTTGAACAATGTGGGGGTTAGGGGTGCTGATCCTCCGTGCAGTGGAAAATCCACGTGTAACTTTACAGTTGGCCATCCATATCTATGGTTCCACATCCGCAGATTCAACTAACCAACTGTAGATCGTGCAGTACTACAGTACATATTCCTCGAAAAGGATCCACGTACAAATGAACCTGTGCAGTCCAAACCCGTGTTGTTCAAGAGTCAATCATATATGAATATTCATATGAAATTCTAGAACAGCGAAAACTCATCTATAGTGTGCTAAAGCAGATCTATGCCTGCCCAATCCCAGAGTGGAGGAGGAGAGAGGGTGAGGAGGAACTGATTGCAAAGAGCCATGAAGAACTTTATGGGGAATGGAAATGCTATCTTAACTGACAGTTAAAAAGGTATATTCACTAAATAGTACAATTAATATAGAATTATTTTATTATATATAAATTATACCTCAGTAAAGCTCATTTTAAAAGTTAAAAGAAAAAAAAAATAGAAACCCTGACAGTCAAGATATGCTTTCCAGCCTCACATGGATCCTCAATGGTTCCCAGCAATTCATTTGCTTCTTTTATTACCTAAGCAAAGTTGTTTCAAATCTATACTATTTCCTCAGTCCCTCCATCCTACTTCTACTCCCAAGTTGTCATCTCAGATGATGATTTTACCTTCTACTTCACAAAGGAAACAGAGAACATCAAGCAGAAACACCATCAATAATCTGCTCCCCTTCTTATTTATCTGCTACCTCCTCCTTATTTATCTGTATTTGTATACATCTTTACTACTTCCCTCTAGCTCAGAAGAGAAGGTGATCCTACTTCCCGTCTAAGCTTACCCCTTCCCCTGGAAGCTTGCTCACCCAAACTTAGCATTCTCCTCAGCAATATTTATCCCTCTCTTCCTAAAAACATTTTCTCAAAAAGACCTCCCAACCAACCTGATTCCCCTAGCTATCATTCTGTCTTTCCTACCCTTCACTGTCAGTATAAGTTTCTCTGTTCTTCTTCAGTCAACTTCAGTGTGATGTGGGCACTGAGCATTCATTCAAACTACTCTCTCTAAGGTATATGTTATACAACTTAATAGGTATGTATAAATGTACATGCTATATATTGCAACAAAAAGACTTATGTATGTTGCAGAGAAGAACAGCAATAGCAACAAGAACAACAAAGAACAGGACAGTGTGTCTCTAATAAAGGGAAGCAAGTGCCCTTAATCAATTGACATAAATGTTTAGTTGCCCTGGCAGATATATCCCCATGGAATGAGGATTCTTAACCTGTGATCCTTGTGTAAACTCCTGGGAGTTTTACAAACTCCCCTGAAATAAACAACTTTGTATATAAATTTCTTTTTGAAGAAAAGATCACTTTTATCAGATTCTCAATGGGGTCAGCAACTCAATCCCACAATTGTGGAAAAAGTACCTCTATCTTCTTTTCTCATTAAGATTTTCTAACTCCCTCTGTGCTGAGTTATATTCCAAAAAAATTTTTTTTCTATATAATATTCCTACCATTACAAAATATGCTGGATAGTCAATAAAACTATCCAGGTGTATTTCTCACTATGAATTAAGATACTGCGTTCTCAAATAAGATAGGCTTTCATGAGCCAATTATCATCTCAGGGTACACTGCCAAAAATTTAATTTCTGAAACTACAAGAAGGCCAGATTGTCAAACATGATGATTCAACTGAGAGTATAATCCTCTGAAGATCGTACCTATGAGTCCAATTATCCCTAAACATCTCTAGCTCATCACTCATTAAGCACAACATACCTTTCTCTTCCTGAAAATAAGCATGAGGGTTTGGCCTGCATTCCTATCCTCTGTGAGTCCTCTCACCCCAGACCTGGCTAGAGACAAAGCAGACCCAGCATTCTCTTCCTTTTTGTCCCAAAGATAAATATATAAATACAACCTATTTTAAAGACTTAAATGTTAATTTCTATGAAAAGCAAACAGAAGTAACAGACTCTGAAATATCTTGGCACTCTTTTCCCTTATTTTACAGTACTACTCTTTCCTGCTTCTCCTAATTTTCCAACTACTTCTACTTAATATCCTTTATTTTCTGTCTGGCTCCTCAGTATCGGTATTCTTCTTTCTTTTCAATTACCCTAGGCAATTCATCCATTCTAATGGCTTCAATGAGCAATGATTCTCAAAATGTATCTCCATCCTCTTACCTTTATCTATAACCTAAGATCCATATTTCTACCATTTCCTGGACACCTCCAAGTAGATGTCTCCCAGGCATTTTCATATCCTAACTAATAATATTATCTAAGTTCTCATATATATTTTAGGTTCCCATATGTTGTTCCTCTAAATACAATTTTCTCAAGTAGCTGCTTTGGTTAGTTTTAGTACATACTTACTGATGAACTGTCAGTTGACTCATTGTTTTTTTCACACTTTTGTTTCTTGTTCTTTTTTTTCTTCTCTTTTTTTACTTTTCTTGAATGTTTGTCTTTTTTCTTCTTTTTCTTCACAGAGTGTTCCTATAAATAATCATGTTTAAAAGGTAAGAATTTAGTTTAGCTTACTTTAAAAGGAAGTATTTTGAGGAAAAGAAACCTCTATATTCCAAAAAACTTTAAATCTTTCATGAAAGGAAACAAGGAATATGACTAAATAAATAATTTCTTCTAAGAAACTTTACCATACTTCTATAATATATGCCACTACTAATAAATCATATAGCTAAAATTTCTTAGAAAAATATGAGGGAAGTTTTATTTGTAGATACATTGACAGATATAATCAAATAAACACATATATGCACAGACATACGTGTGTGTGTATCTCCTTCAATAGGCCCAAAAGAATTTATAGAAGATTACTAGCCACATAAAATATAACAAGATAGCATAAACTGTGGGAAGAGAAAACAAGGATTGAGACAATCCCCCTAAAAAAAAAAGAAAAAGAAATAAAAGCATGACATTAAGCTTAAAACGCATAACTTTTTAGATCCATAAACTTGCCACAAGTGGGCTAGAAATTTGAAGCTAAGTTTTCTACCAGCCAACTCAACTAACAAAATCTTTCCAATGTCATTATGTCCAAAATATTATTTGGCCAGAGAGAGAAAATATTCAGTAATGCCAACTATGTGATATTCATTCTGTAACTTGCAAAAATAGTCTATAAAGTTACTCCTCCAATATTAACTTGAATAAGTACAAAAAGAAAAAAAAAGACAGATAAGCTTACATCAAGTAAGCCTGTTAGTATTCACCTGTGAGATTTGTTCAAGTCGCTTATTCACATCAGGTAGCATCCATGTTTCCTTACCCCAAAGTCGTTTAAGTTCTTTACGCCTTTCTTCCTTTTCAAAATTGGCTTTAGCCTAAAACAGTGAAAAAAGAAAAATTAACAATTGATCCACTTGCCTTTCACAAAAAAGCAAAACAAAAACTTCTCCCTCTTTCATATAAGGCTTACCAGGAATTTGCTTCTACCAAAGTATAAGAAAGATTTAAACAAAAAACTCTCCTTCAACATTACCAATTGCATTACCAATTACCAATCTCTAGTGAAATGAGCCACCAATCAAAGACAGAATCCGGGGACCTACTGTAGACCCTTCCCTCTCCCTAAGCTCCCTACCTCAAATATGACTTGAATCTCTTTTCCCTTCACTATCGCACTGATACTGCCTGACACTTTTGTAACTATTTGGGGACTGACCTCCACACCTTCAGTCTGCAGTGCCCAAACTCCTCTACCAACACCCCCAAAATGCTTCAGGAAGAATCACCTTTCTAAAAACAAATGATTATATTGCTAATTTTTATTCATCTTTCAACAACAGTCAAATAAAGTAAGATCTTTCTAGGAAGTTGTTCCTGCCTTTTCATTCTTCCCCCAAATTTCAAAGCTGGGGTTGGTCCTTCTCAAACCTCTGTACGTAGCTCTACTATACAATTTATCACAAACCCTACTCTCTCCAAAAACTGCCTGAAATATCAGAGACAAGGATGAAGGATATTTATTATACACGTATATTACATATGCTGAAATCAGGGAACAACACCAACCTTTCACCTAAGACTTATTGCCCTCTCTTCCCCTGTAAATCTGGCTGTAGTCGCTACACCTTCTCCTTCCTGTCTGTATACCGGCTCCTTCTCGTCTGCATTTAAACTCGTTTTAAACTGTTCCAGCTTAAAACAAAATCCATCACTTGTTTCACCTTACATTGCTCTCCAACTACAACTTTTCCCCTTCATTGCCACACTTCTTACATCTTGTCAGATAATTCAATAGTACAGTTTACTTCCTGCATTCTTTATGTTACCTCTACCCCATCTCAATCTTAATGAGAAATAGAATGCTTCTCAACCTTTTTCGAAGTGCTGAATTCTCTGGGTCTCTTGTCTCAATCCTTGTTTGCATCAGTAAGTATTTACAATAAGCCAATAACTGATATAAATAGTTTAAAAGGAGAATGAAACGGTCTACTCTGACAAGGCTTACATGTGTTCCTGGAAACGGAAAATTTCATTTCAGATATAGCAAGAGCGAGGATTGAGACTATATAAAACGCAGAGAGAGTCGTTGTAAGTGGCGGAGTTCTTCGAAAGTGCGCAGCTCAGGTGATCAGGTGATAGAAATGTCAAGAATGGATGATTTAAAAGATATGGAAATTCAGAGGAAATAAACAAGTCTTACTGAAAAGAGTATGAGCAACTGGAGCCTGCCAGAGCATCTAGGAGGCAGAAAATACCCAAGAATTTGCGGGCATTCCAAAGGGAGACATCTACCCCCACACAACCAGGTAAGGTGAGATACCAAGGCTGCGGGGAGGCAGGAGAACCAGAGGCCTGGCTCCCAGAAAGCCTCCACTCTCTCAATTCTAAATGGTTCACGAAGCCCCCAAACAGAGGTACCTGTCCCAACACCTCGGTCCTGGAAATCCAAGTCTGTTCTTTACGCTCGTCGACGACCCTCGCACTTTCAAACCCACCACCGGCAGCCGCCATAGTGATTGTCGTAAAGTTGGGAAGCCGTCACAAAATCTCAGTTTACGACTGTCGTAATTTACTAAACAAACCGGGACTTCCGACTAGGAGGAGGAGGGGCGCTGTCCACCAGCAGAGCATGCGCAGATCTGATTGTTGCTTACTATTCGGGTGAATTGTCTAACCCGTGGTTTTAGAGGAAGCAGGAAGATTTAGCCGGGGAATTGCCCACCTTCGTATATCGAGATTGCGCTGAGCAGGACTGGTGTAGGTGTACATTTGTTACGCGTTTTGCAAGGTTCTGACGGCATTTTCAGCTATCAGCTATCTCCTCTTAAAATCTCCGCAGTAAGTTAGACACTCAGGGAGGTTAAATCCGCACCTTTCAAAGATTTCCACCAAAGCGCCCTTCCCGCCAAAGAGGTTTCCCTGTGCAGGAGGAATGGAACGAAGGAAGGTTGGCCAGAAAGGCAATGCAAGGTAGCAGGAGGGCAAAATTGCTTTGAAGAGTCAATGTTTTGCTTTGGTGGACTTTTGTAAAGTACAGTATATGAAAACGTCATGTGAATTTTGCATTGCACTTCATAATTTCTACGAGCTTATTTAAAGTGTAACATTTTTTCTGACATATTATTTGTTCATACTTATTCACTCAAGCATTTTTCATTACAGTGTGCAATTACCTATTTGTGTGTTCCTGTTTTATGCTACAATAAAAATAGAAGTGAGAGGTTTTCTTCCCTCTCCTGAGAACAAGGAAAATAAAGGGAACAGTGAACAGGCTAGAGAAGAAACATAACCTGGCCTGAAAGAGCTAATCACCCCTTATTTTATTTTAACTGTTACTAATCTGTAGTGTCTGTAACTAGATTTGTACTTCACAAAGCTAACCTATCACTCCCTAACTTTGTGTAAATTACATCCTCCTCCTGGTGTTTACATTTACTATGCTCCCTTGTAACAAATCACCCCCTGTAGCTTTTGGCTTCAGAAAGAAGGTCACTGGCCTATAAACCAGAGACAAAAGGACCCAATTACCAGGCTGCCTAATGCCAGCTATGACTGTTTTGAAAAAATGCAAGGAGAAAAAGAATGCCAGGGGGGCACAGTTCTTGAGGTGCTAACCTGCCATGTCTTCCCTTCTGCCTGGCAGAGGAATAAAGCCATCTCTCTATCCTCCAAAGTCTCTGTCTCTGTATTCTGTTCAGCATCCGTGCACAGAGAGCCAAGGTTTTTTGGCAACATCTCCCAAACATAGAACTTTAAGTTCCGTGAAGAATAAGACATTCTAAAGTATTAATCAAGTGGTTTGAGACTATAAAACACCGAGCTTATATATAATCAGAAAGATAAAGAAGAAGGTTGGAGAATAATAACAAACTAGATACTTTAAAAACATTAAAAATAGTTAACATAAAACAGATTGAAGTATATCGACTAAAAAATTATTCACAGCCTAAAAGTTGAGAGTTATATTTTATTTGGTGGGAATTTTAGGACTTCAAGCCTGGGAGGCAGCATCTCAAGTAACCCTGAGAGAACTGCTCCGAGGAGGCGAAGCAGGGAGCCAGGATATATAGGAGTTTTGCAACAAGGGGCAGGTAGTCTGAAAGTCAAAAGATTATTAATTAAAGAAAACCACATATGTCAAGTTAAGTAATTTAATGCTTTTCTATATATGGGGAGATGCAAGAGTCTGGGCTCACTGAAATCGTTGCTTTGATATGCACCTCAGCTATCTGGGGCCCATATCTTGTGTTTTCATATGCTGTTTCCTCAGGGCTCTCCGTGGGGAGTGGCTATAGTCTGATGGCTGCTAGATGGCAGGTATTCTTTTCCTTCCTGAGTTCCCTCAGGATTCAGCAGCTCACCATAGGCTGTGGCTGTAATCACTGATGACTGTGACATCCTTTGTTTACTGATATGGCAGGCAATATTCCATTTATCAGGTAAGTATGCTTCATTTTAAGTTTTCATAAAACTGAATTTGTGTTTCCAAGAAGCTTTCCCAGGAGTTTCTATTTCACCTATCTGAAAATCTTAACTTCAAACATATAGTGTTTACTTGTTTGATATTCAAAATAGATGTATTCATTGCAGTTTTGTTACAGAAAAGTGAATTTTAATTTATGAATTAACCTTGAAATATTTAATCCACTGTGACTTTGAGACAGGCTGGGACCTGGGACACTTTGCTGCAGTGTTTGCACCTGGACAAACGTCTCCTCCAGCAACAAAACACAAAGAAACTACATGGGACTAAAAATAACTGTGTGCATGCACAGTTGGGGCAAATTATGGACAACAAGATACAAAAAGACTAAAACCCAACTGCCACTTCTGAAGAGCCAGGAACAAAAACAGGAGGCAAAAGTAGGGTACCAGTAGCAAAAGCAGGGTAATGAGCATGACCCCTGTACACCATACCCGCAAAGGGGTGGGCAAACCACCTAAACCACCCCTCTGGCCCGACCCCTGGACCCACCCCTACCCTCACCCCATAGATGGAGACAGCTCGCCCCAGACTCAGCAAGCGAACATGGGAATCTGCTACTTCTTTTTGCCCCCTCCTGCTGCAGGAGCCCCAATAAAGCCTTGCCTGAATTTGTCTGGCCTTTTATCAATTTCTATTAATTAAAGAAGTCTAAGAACCCTGGTAAATAACAGACTTTGTGGCACCCAGTGTGGGGCATTTGTCCCCTTCCTGGGAGAGAATCTGGGCATCTCTGGGACCACTGAATGCAGCTTTCCCATGGGTGTCAAGCGGCCACCTGAACCTCTTGTTTGGGTGTCACCAAGTTTGGTAAGTCTGCCTTCCTGGCCCCTGAGGACTTCAGTACCTTCATTCAGGCAATGCTTTCCCTCTCCCTTTTGTCCCTTTCCCTCTCCTGATATCTCTCTACTTCTCCTTTCTCTGTCCTCTTCTACTTCTCTGTTCTATCCATCCAAGAGAGTGGACGTCAGGCAGCTACAGCATCACTCCTCTTGGAAATGAGACAGGCTGGGACCTGGGACCTGGGACACTTTGCTGCAGTGCTTGCAGCTGGACAAATAACTCCTTGAGCAACCGAATAAACAAAGGGGTGGGCAAAGCACCCAAGCCACCTCTCCAGCCCAACCCCTGGACCCACCCCTACCCTCACCCCACATAAGGAACCAGCTTGCCTCCCTCCTCAGTGAGCAAGCAAGAGAAACTGTTACTTGTTTTTGCCCCCTTATGCTGCAGCAGGAGCCCCCAAAAATCCTTGTCTGAATTTCTTGTCTAGCCTCATCAATATCTATTGATTAAGGAAGGCCAAGAACCCTCGTTGGTAACAACTTGACAGATTTTTGTCATAATTAACCCAAATGTCACTCCACTCTTTCAGATTCTCTTGGGATTCAGAAAAGCGTCTGTTTACCCCTTGCATCAATTGTGGGGTCAAAAAATTGGTGATAATAGCAGAAAAATGCAAAATTATATAACAGAAACTTTTAAATCCTATTTAAGGCACAGAAGAGACTAGAACAAATGAAGAGGCATACCATGTGCTTGAAGAAGGCTCAACATCATAAAGAAATCAATTGTCTATAAATTACTTTGTGAATACAATAACCAATAAAATTACCAACAAAAAATGCTGGCATCAGGGAGGGGAACTAGACAGGTTGATATAGAAAAGTAAGGTAAAGCAAGTTGTTGTTACCAGTTTGCATTTGGCCACATCAATAGAAATCCATGGTTTAATCAAACAAAGCGTAATGTAATAAGGAGCCTAAAGGTAGCTGGTCCAGGAACCATGTTGTTTCTCCTTTTCTGCTTTGTAACACTTAGTATGTAACTTAAGTCTTTATAGTCACAAGGAGTGTGTTCCATTCTTTCACATCTGTACATTGCATCTATTAAAAATAGGAATAAGGGGGAAGAATAAAGGGCAAGAAGTGTATGACACCTAAGCCTACCCCATTTTTATTAGAAAAATTATGACTTTCCTAAAGCCTGTCCATTTTCTTCTGTTTAAATCTTAATGAACCAGAAGTAGGTTACATGACCACAACTAACCGTGGAAGAGTCATGAAGATTCCAGAACAGTTTTGTTATAGAATGACACTCAGCTTAGATTTGTCTGAGGTTTCTTTGTGGTTAGACTTAGGTTAAGCATCTTGGAGAGAACTATCACAGAAGTATGACTGTGTTCTCATTGTATCCTATCAGGTAACACAGAATTTCCATTTGTTCTATTACTAGTGATGTTAACCCTGATCATTTAAATAAAGTGGCTTCTGCCAAACTTCTCTACTATAAAGTTACTCCTTTTCCCTTTGTAATTAATAAGTATTTTTCAGACAGTTCTTTGAAACTACATGATCAGGTCACCCCAAATGGCTGTTCTCTTGCTCTCTGTACATCCCCAGTTCAACCAGTCCCTGCCTCACCTACACCCTACTCACCCTACTTCCCAATTAATCTTAGATCCTAATCATTAAATGCCTACATACTTACCCCCACCCTAGCTAGTGATTATTCTAATCTTTAGATCAGAACTATTTCCACTATGATAGTTTATCAAAGGGGTGGTGAGAGGTGTGCTCCTCTGGTGGTTTCCCTGGTAATCAATGAGCCAACTGAGGTCAATTCCCCCTATAACTGATAACACCTTCTTCCCCAGGTAGCAAAGTTTGCTCCCATATACTGTCTGCCATCTGCCTTCCATGGTGGGGTGTCCCTCCAAGACACTTTTGCTTTTGTAAGATCCTCTATCCATTAAACCATTGATGTCTTTGTCACTGACTTCGGGCTCTTTCCTTGGTCTTGAGGCTGGGTAATTACAGGGCTTGCAGGCCTGCAGGGGGCAGCCCAATAGAAACTATGCTAATTTATTATCAAACTTCCAAATTATGCATTTTTATTAGTATAGACTCATGATTTCTATCTCTATTCAGTAGATTCATAATTTTATTCAGTGGGATAATAATACCTTATTATCAGAATTTATTTTGATGCCCCAGTTTGGCCAGTGAGAGCCCCAAGCTGGTTTTTGTGACATTTCCACATACCTCCATTT